AGCAACTAAAAGCAAAAGAGCTGTTATAAAAGATCAATTTATAAGAGGAGCACATCAAAAAGAAAGGGCACAAAGGCCTGGACAACAAAATGGACAACTTACCTTTGAGTGAGGCAAGGTAAATGATCAAGCATGGAAGACCACTAATGGTCTATAAGGATGAAGGATAAAAATAAAAAAATCCACGATAAAAAATCCAAAGCAGAGGTGCACTCTTTGTAGAAAGAGGGTTGTATTAGTTCTTGGATTGATGTGCAATTAGTAGGAACAATAGTAACAGGGCAAGAATTTAATGATATTTGATATCATTTAACGAACAAATTTAGGTGATGTAATGAAAAAATATATAATTATGTCCCTTGCATTTAATCATTCTCCTGGTTCTTTCTTTCTTTCTTTTTAAAAAGTTTTTAAAAAATTACTGTGTCATTAAAAGCTATAATTTTTTGGCAACTATTGGAGGGAGCTCTATTTGCTATTGGCACTGCAAGCAACCCTAGGTCATCAGACTGATTAGTTCTGTAACAACAACTATGGATGGTGGGGAGATCAATAAGGCTGTGAAACCAGGAAATGGACAAATATAAATAACTGCAGGGACCTTGGTGCTCCCTGAGCTTGTTTACTTGAAGACAGCAGTGCACCCCGTGTTTCAACCCTGAGCTACAAACGTTCTACTTTATTGACAAATAACTGCATTGAAAAGTGTTTGGAATTGTACAAGGTGTAAAATGCAGAGGTTAAGTTGTATTTCTTGCCTGTACAGAAAGATCTGCAATGGCCAAAAATGCAATTTAAGGTGCTGGCATTGACCATTAGAACGCTTAAAAAGTGTAGGCCCGATTGTCTGTGATGCTGCCTTTCCTGGTCTTACAGCAAGTTCTTACAAGGTCACAGTCATACAACCTGAGACAAGATTAATCTATTACCAGTACAAGAGAAAAGGTGGAAACTGTTTCTCAGGACCTAAAGAATGGGCAAAAGAAACAGGGACAAGAGTTTGAAGTAGCTTTTGAAATCCCTTGGAAACTGGCCTAACATTTAACACACAGCTGTAATTGGATGTATCTTTTCTTTTATGTACACCGAGAGCGTATGCACCAAGATAAATTCCTTGTGTGTCCAATCACACTTGGCCAATAAAGAATTCTATTCTAGTCTAGTCTAGTCTAGTCTAGTCTAGTCTAGTCTAGTCTAGTCTAGTCTAGTCTAGTCTAGTCTAGTCTATTGATTTGATTATTTTTTCTTTTCTTTTATTTATTTATTTATGGTTGTAGCTTCATCAGCTTTGCTGCAACAATCTACTTATTGGGACTTTGATGTTTGTGGAGGTATTGCCCAGTGGGCCAAGAGAATATGAGCCTGTCCAGTTACTTAGAATAGCAGGCAAAGTCATCCTGAATGTGCCCAAACTCAACTATTATGTATATAGAAAAAGGCCTTCTCCAAGATTGTGGAATGTATCCTCTAAGGCAGCAGATGGGCTTGACTTCCAATGCTTAAAAAGATGGAATAAAACTCCAAGATTTTATTTTAATTGTTAATTTTGTTCTGTTTCATATTTTCCCATTTTTAATTATTGTAAGCCACTTCACACAGAAAGGTGTGGTAAATACAATAATAAATTATTTTCATGACAATATAATTTTCTACTGACCAAAAGATAGGTGAATAGGAGTTCAACTTAGCAAGGGACTAAAACCATAATCAGCTTTTCCTTTATTGTTGGTATCCTTCAACAACTTTTCTAACAGAAGAAAGGCTTGCTTAACTTGATTAGGATGAAACCAATGGTGTGCTGGAGCAGGCTCACAACAGCCAAGTGTTAAGTTTTCTGAAATTTTGCAAACTGGCTGAGAACGAAGCTGAGTCACAATGCCTACTGTGCTAATCAGCTCTTTGCCAGCTAGCAGGGGGTTATAGCAGTGGCAATGGCACTGGCAGAGCTGATTGTTAAACAGTTAGCAGCACACTACTGGTTGGTTGTTTCAATGAATGATCTCTCTCTCTCTCCCTCCCTCCCTCCCTCCCCCCTCTCTCTCCCTCTCTCTCTCTCTCTCAATGTGGAAAGTTTCAAACTATATTCTACATGTATTTTGGTGTTCTTTTCTTCAAAACATATGAATGGGTTTGTTAATAACAATCCCTCATATTACTGTAAGTGTATGTTATATTTATGAATACATGCAATTTTTCTGACTCACTTTTAACTATTGAACTACATTGCAGAATTTATAAATTTTGAATAGCTACTTTTAGATTTGACTATTACCATATTTTTCGGAGTATAAGATGCACCTTTCCCCCCCCAAAAAGAGGGTAAAAATCTGGATGCGTCGTATACTGCGAATGTAGCCCTGCACGGCTTCTTAAACGGAGGTTTCAGAGGCTGAAAAAAGCATCAGAAATGAAGCTTCAGAAAAGAAGCCCCCAAACAGAGCTTCAGAAAAAAAGCCCCCAAACAGAGCTTCAGAAAAGAAGCCCCTAAACAGAGCTTCAGAAAAAAAGCCCCCAAACAAAGCTTCATTGGCTTTTTTTCTGAAGCTTTTTTTCGGAGGCTTTCAGAGGCAGAAAAAAAAAAAAGCAAAAAAAAAAAAAAAGGCACAGAGCTCACAACCAAGGAACCTATTTCTAAAATTCACCTCTAGAAACAGCTGACTGGGGGTCAATCCACCTGCCAATCAGCTTTTTTCTTATTTTCCTCCCCAAAAACTAAGGTGTGTTTTATACTCCGGTGCGTCTTATACTCTGAAAAATACAGTAGTTCAAAAGTGTGCACTTAAGTAAGCTTGCATTCGAATGTGAAAAACCTTTCTCCCATCCCCAGTAGATGAAAAATAAAAGTGGAGCAGTAGAGATATTGCAGAGGTAGCTTTACCTCACAGCCATCATGTTTTTCTGGGTAGAAATCATTGTGTAACTATAAGCTAACAACAAGACATGATAAGGTTAAGCCATAGTCAGCACTGCTTAAATAAGAACTACCATTATTGGTTATTGCGATTAATGGATCTTTCACCTAACCACAAAGTAACTCTTTTCCCTGGTTTGGATGACATATTAAGCCAAACCACAATATGGCTGAGTGCTTTGTGCAAACATGGTCAATGTCAGGGACTAGGAGAAGTTTCCTGAAATCCGTATGATTCAATATATTTAGCAAAGAAATAGATATCTAATTAGCATTGAACAATGGGTTCAGGACCAAGATAAAACTGCAGGTGCACACTTCACTTCTGACCATATGACATCCAGGGATGGTGAGTCTGTCATAATGTTTAGTTTTCACTCTTTTTCAAAAAGTGAAAGAAAGTTGGGTAGAAGGGGAAAAAAGTGGATGTTATATTTTACTAACTTGCAAAAGTGTGTTTCCACTTAAAGGCTAATTGACATCTCCCACATCAGACAGTCAGCACTATGTTGTCAAGTGGATTACTCCTGATCTGTGCTTTGTCTCAACTGTGGATTAAGCAGTGTAATGATATCCTATTTAATATTTTAACCGTATGGGCTGCAATTTCACAGACAATTATATAACAAGGAAAGCCTCCCACCAGCCAGTTGCAGCCCGGAGGACAGTTATTTTGTCACAGGAAGCTTTTAGAGATGTGATAGGCAGTCCTGCGCCCTTATTCTGCTGCTGCCACCATCTTCCACATTCTCTTACATACAGAAGTTCATGGCCTCATCCATCTGGATTCATCTGATATTGAATAGTGATTAGAAGTTGCCTCATTTTAAACTTTACTTTGTCCTCTGCCATCATACGTTTCACTTTCAGGCCCCTTCTGAATCTCAGAGTTCGAGTTCTGCTATAGATGAGAGTTGATTACTGGCAGTATTGGAAAACATAGATCTTTTGAAGCTAAGCTATTCTGTTTCCCAGAGACATGTTGCCTGAGTCAAAAGTGAACAGAATGATGAAGCTAAGAAGGATTTGCTTTGGTGTTTGGGATTTCCTAACGGCAGTTCTGAAGCTGTAAATTACTGATGCCTAAAAGTGGCAATGTTTATCTCCACTAAATAAATAATGGAAGACTAAAAAAAAAAATATTGGAAGTGGAGCAATATTAACACAAAGGAGAATTCCCCTGAAAACCAATGCAGAGTTAGAATTCAAAATTAGGATTAAGGAGATCCTGGTTCAAAGTTATTCTCAAATGGCCTTCCCTGAAAGGGTCCTGGCAGGAGCATCGGTTTTTTTTTTCTTCAGATTATTCATAATTCTATTCCAGATTCATAATAATGTGACTTTTAAAAAAAAGATTACCTCAAAATTGTAATATGTAACTTTTTTTTCTTTCCACATTCATAATGATAGGGATTTTCTTTCAAAATATTTTTACATGTACATTTTTCTCTCACAAAAGATAGTGTTGCATTATGTAAAAATGAAGAGCAATCTGCAGACTTGCAGTCTACAAAGTCCAGCTAATCTCATATCTGTATTTATCAAGATTGAATTCTCCATGTCTCCTAAAGCCAGAACTAGTCTGCTATTAGGCAGAGGGAAGAAATTGCCTCAGGCCGCTCATTTTGAGTGTCATGAAAAAGTAGCAAATGGTTAGATAAGTACAAGCTCTGTTTCTACTTTCCAAAGGAGATATTTGTGGGATTTTCTCCCTCAAACGGCCAAAAAAAAAGAAAAGAAAAGGGGGGGGGGAGTCTTGGACATAGTGCAGTCTGAATGGAGGAAGCAAATGCCATTTCTATTCTACCTCAAGTAGCAAAATATCTTGGTTGGCCTCCTTTAAGCCCAAAATGAACTCTTGCATTCAATTTGCCAAACTTCAAATTGTTTCACTCTGGCAGATTGTGGTTTAGATTTGCCAAGTGCCAAGGTAATATCGGTTAGCTCTGGGTTACTAGGGTTGAGCCAAAATGGAAGGAGGTAGGGTAATGTGGTTATTTTCTTCCCCTGCAAAATGTGCCTCCCACTTTTTGGATGTTTTCCTCGAGGCTAATTTTGGAATTTGTTTTCCCGTAGGGATTGCTGCAGAGAAACGTTATGACACCACCCAAACCATTTAGGCAATGCATACATAAAGCTTTGTGGTGATCCCAGTTGGCTGCAGCTTCAGCAATTTTTTTCCTTTGAAAAATACCTCCTCTTAGTGTCAACAACATCATCCCAGAGCCAGTGAGAGGCCAAATGAAGTTACCTCAAAATAAAGGTAATCCAGAGCAGTGCCTTCATTCTGAATAAGATTTTATTATCCTCACTATTTCCATACAATCTACGAGATATGGCTATATGTTCTCCTAGCATCTTTGTAGAAACTATAGCTGTCTGACAGATTTTGGCACCAAAGCTATGGTTAGCCCAAGCTCCAAACAGTAGTACAGTATAGGTTTCAGACTTTATGGAAACCCTTTGGCCTGTCCAAATATTCCTTTATTGTGTTAGTTTTATATGCTATTTTTCCACCTTTTATCCATATCCAATGGAACATGCTCAAGTATAGTTCTGCAATAAATTCTGTATTTAAAGATCCAACATAAGAAATTCCATGTATTTGCAGTTGTAAATTCCTATTTACAACTGCAAATACATAAGAAGTGGGATTTTCCCCACTGAAATATCTTTTGTTTGATATATCTTCTAGAGCTCTGTATTGTTCTTGGATCTGACCCAATCAGGCAGGGATTTTTGGCCTGGATCTATTAAAGTGAATTAATACTCATCCTACCCTACTTAAATTAGAAAAGACTTGCAGCAGTATAAAGCCTAGGGACAAGAGGATCAGTACAATACAATATATTTTACTGTCTGTGTTAAAAAAAAAGTAGTGTTCCTGTCCATTAGGGATTTTTAGCAGTTATTATTTTTTTTTTAAAAAAAACAAGTTTTAAAAAGTTAAATTCACATGCACCTTTATTTTCAATTTTCCCTAGCGGACGTTTTAAAGCATGTGTGTACATGTACATGGAAATGCATGGCAGGAAGATAATAGAGAATGAGAGTGAACAACATGGGGAACTCGTGAGGAATGAGAGATTAGATCCGTGTTTCAACTTTGACAACTTTAAAAAGAGTGAACTTCAGCTTCTAGAGTTCCCTAGACAGAATGGAGGGGAGAATGAAAGAGGGTTACAATGCAGCAAGCCACAACATTTTGAGCCATTCTCCAACTGCTTCTGCTGTACCAATACCATAGAGAAACTTGAAGGGATTTTTTTTCTCCATGGCTCTCATCCTGATCTACGAAATTTAGTCCCATTCTGTTCTGGTTTTGGGAGTTATCTTTCTGCAAACAGAATTCCAAGTTTCTTGTATGTGCTCCATTCTGGATTCAGTATTTTGAATTGTTGCCCACCTCCTCTAATAAAGGGATGCATTGGAGGAAGTTTTTATTGTTTATTTTTTGCAGCCTCTGTCTGGCTCTGGTCCCTTTACAAAGGTCATTTTTCTTTTGCTGGCTTTTCTCCTGTACCAAATATGTCCTCTCTTATCAGAGAGTTATCTTACAGACAGACAGATAGACAAGGTCCCAGGTCCCTTTACATAATTTCTTTCTAACCATTTCTTGGGAAGAAAAAGTAATTCAATCAGAAAGAGAAAGTCAATCCATCCTCACCTCTAAGGACTGCAGGTCTTAAAACAATAAAACTCTCCTTAGCTTCCACTTTGTGCAAAAACAAATCAAAACCGAATACAGTGTACTGATTCTTTACTGTCTAATTTGAGCAGTTGCTCTATAGGGAAAGGTATGAAATCATCAAATCCTCTTTCTTTTATTGCACTTTTTGTCTCCTGCTAGCTGTAAAGAAAGTGTGCCAGCAATTCTGCAACAAGAGTTGCAGAACTTCCTTTTCTCAGTAACTAGAACTGTGCTACCTGTTGCTGGAGAAGAGGAACCATTTTTAAACCATGTCTAGAGGCAGATACCAGGAACACGGCATGGTGATTGCTTTTGGGGGAGGCACGGAAGAAATGACCCTGGAATAATCATAATCCCCTTTCACCTACCCCCCCTCCACACACACACAAGAGGAAGGAAAAAAAATTGTCAGCATTTTCCAGAGCTGACAGAAAAAGAACAAGAAGCTATCAGAGAAAGAAAACAGAATCTGTTAATTTCATTCCAGATCTCTTTGTTTGGAGTTATACTACTCTATAAAGCCCTAGTAAGACCACACCTAGAGTACTGCATCCAGTTTTGGTCACCACACTATAAAAAAAGATGTTGGGACTCTAGAAAAAAGTGCAGAGGAGAGCAACTAGGATGATTAGGGGACTGGAGACTAAAACATATGAAGAACGGTTACATGAACTGGGCATGGCTAGTCTAGTGAAGAGAAGGACCAGGGGAGACATGATAGCAGTGTTCCAATATCTGAGGGGCTGCCACAGAGAGGAGGGGGTCAACTTATTTTCCAAAGCACCTGAAGGCCAGACAGGGAATAATAGATGGAAACTGACCAAGGAGAGATTCAACCTAGAAATGAGGAGGAACTTTCTGACAGTGAGAATAATCAACCAATGGAACAGCTTGCCTTCGGAACTTGTGGGAGCTTCATCACTTGAGACCTTCAAGAAAAAATTGGACTGCCATTTGTCAGAAATGGTATAAGGTCTCCTGCTTGAGCAGGGGGTTGGACTAGATGACATAGAAGGTCCCTTCCAACTCTGTTATTCTGAGTTCTATGCTCAGAGAAGAGATAAAGTCTTTGTCATGCCTCAATTCTAACGGGGTAGAATCACTGTGATAATTCGATAAAGAGTAATGCCCTCTATATCTGAATTTATTCCTCCTGAATCCTAAGGGAGGTTTTTTTTATATATGGTTTAGTTTTTCCCTAGAGCATGTAGTTTGGATCTTTGAAATAATAATTCAGTGATTGATTGATTCTTTCATTTTCTGGAATTGATTCTTTGTGTACTGCTTCATCATAGTGATATAAAATTGCTAGCTGCTTGGAGGCTGGTCAAAGAAAGATTGTCTAAGGAACTCAGGAAATCATCCTTTGAGGAAGGATATAGTCCAATACTGACAGAGTACATGTTTGACATGAAGGAGAAGCAGGGACAATTTTCAACATTTTTGCTACATTTATCAGAATAGGAAAGATCTCTGAAATTCAGGAGAGCTACTGTCATTCATAATATTGCACAGAAAAGACAAGTGGTCTGATCTGTTATAAGGCCATATGTTATTATGGAAATCCATCTACCTCCAGTCATCCCTCCATTCATATTCATGCTCCTCTTAAATGAAATTGCCATGTCTGATTACTCTTTAAATATAATGCCATTCTCAAATTTTGTTCGATGGCTTTATTTTTGTGTTCCTTAATTTTACTCTGTTTGTATTTGTATCCATTAGGGGAGGAGTACAAATGTATTGATTTAAAATAGCAACAACAAATCAGTTTTCATCTTTATCTCTGCCTAGAATAGGCTTCTGTTAAAATCTGACTTTTTATATACCCATGTTTTCCCGAAAATAAGACCCTGTCTTATATTTTTTTGAACCCTGAAATAAACACTTGGCCTTACTGCCATGCACCCAAAAGCCCGATTGGGCTTATTATCAGGGGATGTCTTGTTTTGGGGAAAACAGGGTATACTTCCCAAAAGGCAATCCTGGCTGGAAACTGATGCTTTCTTCATGAAAAATGGGCCATCATATGCAAAGCCACACTCTCAACAATCAGTGGTTTAGAGCTGTTTGTTTTTCAAATACTTTAATTGCATGGTCTACCCATAAGTGATCAGTTTTGAAAATTATATCTCTATACTAACTACAACCAGATGGATGGAGGGAAAAATAAGCTATGTTTTAAAAGAACTAATTCTTTCCTCCATAAGAGTAAAAACAAACAAACAAACAAAGGAATACCAGTATATGCTTGCTCCTATTGTTTGCTTAGTTTTGGGTTAATTTTATAAACATTTCCCCTGCAGACAAATCAAACAAAATCCAGATTTATATTTCTGTATTGGGTTAGTGAGGGCTGAGAAGCCATTTTTTTGTAGACAATGTCCATAAATAGTCCAATATCATATAGGCTGCTAACCTGATATACAGGCAGCTACTTCTAGCTTCTTTGAGGAAATATAAAACCCAGATTAGGAGTGACAGGTTTTTTTAAATAGAATTGAGGCTGGTACTTGATTTTTTCATTAGCAACTGCACAAAACAAAAATGTCTCATATGTTCATTCTCAAAAGAATTCAATTACCTATATTTATAAATAAGAGGCTAATGCAGGAACATGTGGTCTCACAGAAGAAACAATTATTGTGGAAGATACATAGTGCCATGTACTGGTCCAAAGTGGAACAAAATTTAGGGGCATTAAGCTGACTTTAATACTTGGATGGGTTTTATCTGCCAATAGTATGTGATCTGTTATATTTATCTGGAAAATTACACTCAACTGCTGGTATGACTCATTCAGAATTTTGAGAATTCAAACCGAATATTTATCCTATATGAAATTGATAGTTCTACCCCACATTTTTTTAGAAAAGAAAAGACAATGTTTTTAAAAGTTTAGATTATGCCAATACAACTGAAATCAGAACTTCTGCCAAACTCAACAACTATTTCAGATATAGAGTTCAGATTTTTAGGAATTCTAGAAGAGGTAACAGCATTTCAGAGTAACTATTCTGAATTTTGTTTCAAAAGCTTATTCAACCTCTCTTTTGACTTTTTAAAGATAATATATCATAATATCATCTTACAGGTTTTTATGATAACAATAACCAGCCTCAAGAACTGATAAAGAATTACTTGAATCTGTGACATTCTGTGTTGTCCAGAATGATTGTCCAGTAGAGTATTCATATTTTAAGTGGAGGAAACAGACCAACATGACAGTGGTCTAGTAATCTTTCTTACTGAGAGTGAAGGTTCATTCTCCAAATTCCAAGTTTGGAGAATGAACTTTCACCCTCATCCTACACCCGAGCTATAGATATTCGCCATTATTGCAATCTTTCTTACTGTCCATATGTGAGTGGGAAGAAAGTGGAAGAGCTATAAGAACAAAAAGTGTACTCCCTGTTCAGAAGGCTATCTTTTGTTTCCCTGGGATCATCAATAAGGAATAGCATTTGTCCTTGATTTGCTCTTCACTTGCATCTGGATTTTATTGTAGTCATTCAAACCTTGCTGACATTTTATGCAGATTATTGCTTAGCAATGTCATTGGATTTGCCCCTATTAAAAACCTATTCAGTATTTCTAATGAGTTGTACTCACATATATTTCAAAAAATGCATTTGATTCTTTCAAAGAATGAAAAGGCAGTGAGGTATCCAAGAGGGTATTATTTTCCCATCATAGCTTTGCATTATTTATTTACTTTATTTATATTATAGCAGTCACGATGCTTCAATGAGATCTTTGTGGTTCCAGAACAATAACAACAACAACAAAAGGCATGGCAATTTTCCTTAAAATGGTGCCCTCCAGACAGTTGGACTATCATCGTCATAATTTATAATCATGATAACTATTAATTGGAGAAGTCTGTACTTCTCTACTGAATCTACTGAAGACGTACTGAATATTGAAGATACATTGAAGAACAACCTAAAGAAACATCACCAATGCTTGTCTTGTACACAGAATGCTTGGCATATTTGTTAAATAATGAAGATCAAGATAATTAAAATAAGAATATAAAGTTAGTTTACTTCATCAAGGTTAAGATAGATATATTTTTATATCTAATAACCCTTAATGGATCAGGATTGAACTACAAGGCTTTAAAAATCTGTTTAAGAGATTTAATGGTAAGAGATGGGAAATGAGAAGAAGAGATCATTTGTTGTATTTTAAGAGAAAATGATAAGTTACTAAAATTGTTTTTACTTGTGATGAAGGAAGAAATTTTTTTATTTTAATTTCCTTTTTTTTTTTAGTTTGTCATTTTTGTAATGTCAGTAATGTAAAATTTGTTTTGTTGTTGTTGTTATGTCTACTTGATATTGCTTTTGCTTCTAACATATAGTGTAAGATTATTTCCATGGATGATGAACATACTAACAGTATTGACATCTCAATGGATGGGATGACACTAATATCTAGGAGTGAACCAAGATAGAGTATGACTTGAAGTTTTGGGAAATTTACAGGGTACAGGTTCAGCTAGTCTTGGATCCAGTGTAGACAAATACATATTTTGGATGACAGAATGTTTTGGATGATGTCATGCCCAGCAAAGGGATAAAACTGGATTTAAGAAATAAAAAAGCAGGCTTCAGTTATCAACATGTAGTAAGATATCTGGGAATGGTTAATTAATTGATAATTGTTACACCCAACATGATCACAAAGCTGGTATAATGGAAACTCAAATGAGTAGTACTTCAATGTATTTCACAAA